AAGTAAAATTTACACGAACTCTTGCTTGCAATAATTTGCTAAGCATTTCACTGACGCCGGATATTTTCAGACCAGTTTAGTTGCAAATAATCAATCGAAATGGAACGATGTGGCAAACTGGAACATAAGCAAGATTTAACTAATTCATTTATACAATTTTCATATAAAACTGCATAAAAAAGATCAAACATAATGACATTCACTTCGATGAGATTTCTTAAAACTCATCATTGCTTCTGGACAATATTCGACTACAGGATATGGCGTAATTCTATTCATTTTTTATATGGGCTCGAATCATGCGAGCACTTGTCGAAAATTTAAAAAGTAAAAGGCATCGTTTCTGACCCATTCGCTTTCCCAAACAATACTTTCAAAGCTAGAGAACTTCACAGGAACTTCATAATAATAAAAAAATTACTTTATTCAAACATTTAAGCCTATAAAGATAGAACATCTAATCGCTGAGGCATCGTTTTCGGAGACCATTCATTTTCCCGGTGGGCGTGTTCGCTCGTGACAACCTTATCTCAATTCAAAGCACCAAGTATTTTCTCTCAGTAGGTTAGTTATTGCTCGTGCTTAAACGAATTTTGACGATTTAGATATTTGACCGCAATTTGAACTCTTGCCAGAAATACTGCTATGAACAAAAAACAAGACCAATTCAATTTTTACATTTTAAAATTTAAAAACCTTTGTGCATAACTTTCAATAACATCCTCTACTAAGAGTTTGGCCTGACAGAAAGAATTCGTAGAGCACACAACACCTCGATAATCGAAGAAAACTTTTAAAATCACGAGAAGTGTTGGCTCACTGTTTGGACGATATTTGCTGCAGTAATCGGTGTTTTCCAGATCATATCCACAGATCCAAGTCCCATCTACCCTCCTAATGTGTGTTATGATTCCCTGGTAGTCATGCAGTATGATTCTTTAACACACATGTTAAAAATCTGACAAAATAATTTTGATGTCGCATAAAACCAAGCGCAGCTGAAACACTAACAACGTTTTTGATTTGATATTTGATACGAATGTCTATCGTAGTACTTCTTAACTTGAATATTGGTCTTACTTTGTGTTCAAAAATTATGTGCAAAGAAAGATTATTTTCGAGTCAATTTGCACTTTGTATTGTAAGATAAGTTGGGAACAAAGAAAAAAATCTTCATTCAAGCATTAGCCAATCCTATTTAGGAGAACTCAGCAAAATATCAAAAAGATCCGTTCATTCATTTGAATAACGATATGCAATAGATGCGTCCAAGGTTCGAAAGGCTTTCCCTCTACTATTAGATAAGAAACTTAAAAACAAAATTAATTTTTTAAAATTTCAAAACCTATGTAACCAAGAGAGAGAAAGATAAAAAAAGGAGAGCAACAGCAAATTCGCTTTTTTATTGAAAGTGGTGAACCCATATTATCATAGTTCCCGCGAATAGACAAGTGAACAGGCGGAATTTCTATCATATATCTAACCATTTAAATGGTACACTGCCGGAAATATTGCGTCAATTCGTTTGACAGCTGTTAACACGAAAAGTAAATTCACTCAAGACGAAGTATTTAGGTTTCAGTTAAACGATTGAGATGAAATACTTTCAAAATTTTGAATGGATCCTTAAGAATTCTACTCCTCCGTTAAGCGGGAAGCACATTCTTTGTGAATGTAAGGGCTTTTATAATACATGCGAATATTAGCTTTCAGAGCATCTAATGCTGTGGACATCTTGAAAATATCTTCAGAACTTTAGAATTGATCATCTAATAGACCTCAACAAGAAAAAAAAAGTGGTGACAACAGTTTTAGCTGCCAGTGCTCTTCCTAATTTTAGCTCTAAAATTTGTTCTTTTGGTCTAAATAAATTATAATAATAATTTTGAATGGTACCATGCTTCTTCCAATTACAGTCCATAGAGTCTTTCCTAGATATACCGTCGCTGTCTTAGTCAGATCTCAAATTCAGCTTGTGAAATGAATCATTTATCTCTACCCCCGTATTGGTGACTGTGAAAATTCTAATAACAGACCAAGAAGTACTCCTGATTTCACTACTGCAAAAAAGTTATACAAAAATATTGCGCCCTCTCAAGAAAAAGATTTGGGGATTCGTAAAATTATTCTATAAATATTATATTAGCTGTGAGTGAGACCTTTTGATCCAGAGTTGACAAATCTTTTTATACCCCCTACTGTAAGATGATGGCATACTCACTTTTTTTCCATAATGTATGTAACACCCAAAAGAAATTTTCAGAGACGCTGTAAAATGTATATATGCATGATCAGCGTGAAATTTTGTTTGTCCATCTGTGTTGTATATGTTGTTGGCACTCTTCTGCTCGGAAAAATTAAAAGATCGGCTTTAAATTTGCTAGAAACATTGAAAGTTTCTTTACGCGGGTTGGTATTGAAAATGGGCCAAATTGGTCAGAGCAGAAGCGTGCTGTGGACCGTAAATTGAACGTAACTCCGTTTTTTAAACCAAAAATTTGTGGTATTTTACTCGTTACTTGGAAATTAAAGTCAGAAGGCTGAAACCATCCACATTTGCTTTACGAGACATTTTACTGTCTAGGTCCAAAAA